GCTGACAGTCGCAAACCCTGACGGATACGTGTTCACTCACACCACAGTAAGCGTGCTGTGTGCCCAAGCTGATTTAGAAAGCTGCCATGCTCTTCCAAGCGAGCAATAAATGCGAGGGAAGTGGGCTCTGCGAGGAGTTGCAAAAGAGTTGGGCAGCCAGAGATACTAGTGACTTGTCTAACCCATCTTAATTCTCTGTAAATTCACCAGCCCTTCGATTTTTGTCCGTTGGCCCATCTCAGCGGTCAGCCCACCCGAAATAATCTTAGGCTTGTGCCTAGGATCTCTTCCTGGTGAACGGCCACTATTTCTGGGTAGCAGTTTTAGTGCAAGGGCTGAGATTAGCTCCTTGCCAAAGCCATGGTGTGTGTTTGGTTTAGAATCGCATGTGGCGGAAGACCCGCTCCAAGAATCGAGGCAGTCTGTGTGTTGGAGTTGATCCAAACCGGAACTGGGATGCAGGTTTTGGAGGTAGGAATAAAGTTTCTGGATTCTTGCTGTCACTAAGAGAAAAGTTCCCTTTCATGTTCCCCGATCCTGTTACGTAGGACTGGCAATTCCCTAAATATAAGGGATTCAGAAAGAAAATGGTCCGATAGGATGGTAGCTGTCTTTTGTAAAGATAATTTCACATCGATTAAATGCCAGTGAGCACGAGGTGAAGGGCGTAATCTGTGTCTTCTAGAAGCATGTTCCTTGAGTATTCATGCTCTGTTGCTGCTGTTCACGCGTTTGTCAGCGCCGAAGGCTTTCCCCTTGGTTGAAGACCTGTCCTTAGGAAAGCCTGGCTTTGTGCTGATCTGCTTTGACCTTTCCTGAATATCAGTTCTTACAGGTTTGCCTTTGTTCCTCCTTTGTACCAACAGGTCCCGGAGCCAGCGGTAATCCCTGTTCTGATTCTTACCACGGGCCCAGTGCCAACTCAGAGGTGGAAGTGAAATCTATTGTTGACTTTGTTAAGAATCATGGAAACATCCAGGCCTTCCTCACCCTCCACAGTTACTCTCAGCTCCTGATGTATCCCTACGGCTATAAGTGCACTGAACCGGCAGACTACGCTGAGCTGGTGAGACATAATGACTTGGCTTTAGCTTCCTCTCTTCTGTCCAGCTGGATTTCTACTCTCAAGTATCTCAGGGAGACACCAGGATTAAAACAAGAGGCTAAACTCTGCCATCCATAACAGTAACCACCCATGAGAGCGAACGAAAACCCGGTGCGGTGTGGTGCAATGCCTTTAAAAGAGGGATCTTGGTCGTATGCAAACATGTGCTGTCCCCATCCGTTCTCAGCCCTCTTTGCTCACTCACATTTCCTTCCTTCTGCTTTGATGACAGCATCACAGCTGTGATAATGTCTTTGAGGTGATATGGATCTCACAATCATAATTCAGATGGAAAAGACCTCTGGAGGTCTCTAGTCTTGCCCTCTGCTGACAGCAGGCAGGCTTTGGAGCCAGAGCCAATTTCAAGGCTGGATTGAGTAGCTCAGGGCCTTTCCCAGCTGAGTTTTGATTAATTGTTTTTGTAGTTCTAAAGAAAAATTCCACAGATTTTCCAAGCCCTTCCAAAAGTTTCCTCACTGTTGTGGGGATTTTCTTTTTCCCTCTTACCTAAATGAAGTTCCCCTTGTGGCAATTTGTTTGTTGCCACTCGTCCTTTCTCCCTACACCTCCAAGAAAAGCCTGGCTCTGTTTTCTCTGCAACCACCCGTGATGCAGTTGACCTGAGCACAAAACTGACCACTGGCTGTTGGAAGATCTCCGACTACCTTGGGATTTTCTGGTCTCTCTTGAACCTTCTCTTGACAAGACAGTTGGTGAGATGAAACACTGCATGATCAGATGTAGGACCTGCTATGGTTTAATTCACCTGCGATGTCATCTCCCAAAAATCCTGTGGAAACTGGGGGTGCTGTCCCTAGTGTGAGAGGTTAAGAAATTGATTTGGCACTAATTTATTGAGGGATGTGAAAGATTGGAGATTTTGTGAAAGATTGTGGTGATTTGCCTGAGTATGGTTCAGCTTGGTGAAATCTGAACATTCCGTCTCCTTAAGTGTGGCTACTTCCTGACTCGTCCTTTGTCTTCTCCTCCTCAGGATGCCTTAGGAAGAGCTGCTGCCAGTTCCATCCAGTCCCTGTACGGCACCACCTTTACAGTGGGGAGCATTTGCACTACTATCTGTGAGTATTTTGCTACTCTGAGCTTTTATGAGCTGTCCCAGAGCAACAGTCTCTGTCCAGCCCACCAGATCTCTCCCTCTTGGAAGCCATGATGCTTCTGTAGAGTGACACCACCAGTCACACATCAGAGCTGAGCGTTCGTGTAAAAACCTACTCTTTGTCCCTCACAAATATAAAAAGTAGGACAGCAGAACTCAAATCAATCCTCTCTTCATCCCTCTGGCTCTTCTCCCTTCCTCTTCCAGACCAAGCCAGTGGAGGCAGCATTGACTGGAGCTACGATTATGGCATCAAATACTCTTTCGCCTTCGAGCTGCGAGACACGGGTCGCTACGGTTTCCTCCTGCCCGCCGACCAAATTATCCCAACTGCAGAGGAGACCTGGCTGGGCCTGAAAAAAATCATAGAGCACGTGCGAGACAATGCCTACTAAAAGCTGGGGTGGGAATCAGCGGTCTCATGAATCTTCCACCCTTGGCGTGGTTGCGACAGCTGTAACGACGCGGCACCCGGCTAAATAAAATCCCTGTGTGAGTTCCTCCTACAGCAACACCCGTCTGCGTGTAAAAAGCATCTAATGCTTGTCTTGTTCACCGAAACTCTGCGTGCGTCGTAGAGCCGCTGCGAGATTTTTAGGACACAAGTGTGGTCCACCTCGATGAGACACGGTAGGAGCGGTGACAGAAGGAGGATGGAAGACGTGAGCGCTTGTGTGGCTGTCGAGATGTCAGAGTGACCTCCAGCGAGACGGAGAGCGCAGGCCTTCTCCTCCCCAGCGGCACGAGAAGTCAGCTGAGGGACTTGCGTCAGTGCGGAGGCTGAGGAGGGGTGAAATGTAAGAGCAGGAGGGTGTGCTGGGAAAGGAGGAGAAGCTCATCTCCAAGCTCACCACTGCTGCAAACCGTCCTGCCTCGTGCCCTCTGCAGCTCCATCTCGATTAGTAAATGCAATTAGTTTGCTCTGAGCAGCAGTAGCCCTTAGCAAGTGTGTTGTACTTCTGCAAACCTCCCTGCCATCACAGCAGCCCCCTCCTCACAACCAGCCCTGTCACTGGTGCAGAAACCAGCTCCTGGGAGGCTGAGGGTTTTCTAAAGGATTTCTGAAATTTGGAGGTTGAAAGCACCGTCACCTCTTCGGAGCTGCTGAAGCCCTTGAGTGATAAACTAAATCATCTAGAAAGTTAATTGCTCCGCTGCTGCGGCGTAGCTACAGCTGGGGGGGATGATGTGAACCTGCTTCTCACTCCAGTAGCATCCAGGGGCTGTTAAAACGGGACAGGGAAGGATTTATGTTTTGTGCAAAACAGCTCCGTGTTGCCACTCTTGTAAACTTGGGAGCTGCGGCAGAGCTCACTTCTGGGGGCAGGACGGGCTCCTGCGGGTGTTAAGCAGCATAATCCCGGCTGTGAGACTGATTAAGGGAATTTAATTCCCTTTAACAAGCCTCAGGACGCTGCCGGGCCACCGACTGCTGGTGGGAGGGGGTTTCCTGGCCTGACGTCCCCATATATTTGTCCTGCCCGCTTTTCTCCCTCCCAGATTTGCCCAGTGGGCACAGTTGGAGGATGGAGGTAGGAGGACCCAGCACAGGTCCCTCAAGAGCCTCCCTCTCTTGTTATTTTGTTCAGCCCGCTAATTTCTTAGGGATTAAGAGCAAAGAGCTCAGGGCCACGCACGGGAGCCGCCGAAGGATGGGAGATTAGCCAACTCTGCTGCTGTTGCCGTGCTTATCAAGTCTAACAGGTTTATCTCCATGTCCCGTGATGCCCTCAGCAGCTGGTGAGTTACTCACTCCTCCGTGAGCTTGGCAGGACGGCAAACACGCCCGGCGCAGCGGGTGAAATGTTTGCTCGGACTCAAAGGACACGAGGCTGGTGGCAGGGAGAGGAAGGGGAAGGTGCGGTTGAGGCATGGGGAAGCACCACGTGGGTTTGGTTTTGGGTTAAATGTAGGAATTTTGGAAAGCAAACCCCAGCACGGGGCAGCTGGCCCTGCCCGTAAGTGTCCCCATGCCTTCCACTTGTGACCCCATCCAGTGGCATCTGCTTCCCAAACTGATCCACCCTTCCAAAATCCCGTCCTCCAGCCAGAGATGACCCCCATGGTGGAGGGGTTGGAACTAGATGATCTTTGAGGTCCCTTCCAACCCAAACCATTCTGTGATTCTGTGATTCTATAAAAACACTGTTGGTAAAACCCAACTGACAGGGAGGTGCCAGGGTACGTGGTTGACTCCTGGGTCCAGCTGACCTGCTGCCACCAGAGTGGGGACCTTTTGGCAAGTGGTGGGCAGGAGCTGCAGAGCCTGAGGAACCTCGGCTGGAGTTGTAGACCAGTGGCCTGGCTTTAAACCTCCATTCAGCCATCCTGGTCTTGAGGCCACCTGGTGCCTCTTCTTGGCTTGATGACAACTGCATCCAGTTTTTGGACCGATGGCACCAGATACCTGGAGCAAGATCAATGGAAGCCTCCAGGAGGATGTGTCCCATGATGGGATGCTGAGGGACATAGGCTGGTTTGGCCTGGAGATGAGACAGCTTTGAGGTGGAGGGACCTAACAAGGACCCTCCTATCCCAGTGAAGAGGTTATAAAAAAAATGGAGCCAAACTCTTCACCACAAATCGTGATGGGAGACACAACAGCATCAACTGAAGCAAGAGAGAGCAGCCTCCATCCTTGGAGGACTCCACAATCCAATGTGGAGGGACCGGCTCTGCCTCTAGAGCTGACCTTGCTTCATCCAGGAGGTCGGATACAAACCTCCTGCAATCCCTTCCCACCTCAACTACCCCATGATCCTGTCTCAAGGAAGATCTCTACCCTGGCACCACCAGCCAGGGCCAGCTTACCAACATCACCAGTTCCACATTATGAAGCTGTACTGGACCCCGACCACGGCACCTTCTCCGTGGCACACCCTACTGTCGGTGCAACCAGAAAGATGACCTGTTTTTTCATGGGAAAAAAAAAACACGCTGAGAAGATGCCTGATAAAAAACCAACCGAGATGACATCTGCCAACCTGGGAAGGCGGCCCGGGAACCCGGCGCATCCTTGACAAGTGTGGGCAGGAGCTCTGGGCCGTCGTAGATAAGCGCACAACAAAGACACTGCTGTAACCTGCGGAACAAAGACGCTGCTGTAACCTGCGGAACAAAGGAACCACTATCACGACCTGACCTCCTCAGACAGCAGAAGTCAGCGACGGCTGCTCCAGGACCTGCTGTCCTGCGCCCACTCGGGTATCCACACTACAGACATAAAAATAGCTTGTTCTCGACCCAAAAATGAGCCCCTTTCTCTTTCTGAGCGTTACCTCCAGGTGAACACCCCCGCACGGCCCCTCGGACCCTCGCCGGGGATGCCTGGCTCCTGGCTCCATGATGCCCATCGTCTTTGAAGGGAGACTTTACCCGTCATCAACTGGTCCCACTCCTGGAAGCGGTTTGGTGAACGGCACCGGTAATAAATTGAATGATATCGTTTGGATTTTTTATCTCTATAGGTGTGCAGATAAGTAATTAATCATAAATATATATATGTTTATATGCCTGCGTTTCTGCTAGTCATTTCGTAGTAACTCGCAACGTACACTTGCTTTACTAATCGTAATTTACTTGACTTACTAACAGTAATCCGTAATAAAGAAATCCGTGGAAACACAGCGCCGTGTCCGTGTGTGCTCCGGGGTGCCATGACCCCACCGTCGCCACCGTCCCACGCCCACGGTTGGGTGGTGACTGTGACCATGACACCTACTCGTAGCAAGCTGGGTGCACAGGCACGCGTCCTCCCGAGCTGCCTGCGGCGGGACCCCGACGTTATCAGATCCTCCCTAATTTGGCTGCTCTTTTATTGACTTTGCCAAATAAAGCAAACATTTGGGCTCCCGGGAGCCATTCCTGGCTTATCTGTTTCTTGCTGCCGGCTCCGTGGGGACAGCAGATCTGGCCTTGGTGAGAAGGTCCACGAGTGCCCCCGGAGCACCCTATAGGGGGGCTATATACGTCCTCGGGGGCTGAGGTTTGTCTGCATCCGCTCACCATGAAGATCCTCCTGGTCTTCGCCGCCCTCGTGGTATCCACCTGCAGTGAGCAGCTTTTCGTGGGGTGAGTCCTACCGAAAGCAGGGGGTGGTGGGGCACCCCACCTCCTTTGGGGTCAATGAGAAGGGTGGCATCCCAAAGGAGGGAAATCTGTCCCCTTTTGCTGCATGGACACCAGGAAAGATGTGGTTTCACTCCAGTTTTGGAGGGAGGTTTTGAGCACCCTCCTGGCTTCTGCAGAGGGTAGAAATTAGGGGGTGCAAAATCCTGAGGGCATCACTTGGAGCTTTTCCATGGGAAGGGCTGAACTGAGGCGGAGAAACCTTGCTGCTTGGGAAGGACAATGTTTCCTTCTCTGCTGGGGGCTGTACCCATCCCTGGGGGAGCCAAGCCAGGCTGGAGCAGAGCCTATGTTAGGAAATATCTACCATATAGCTAGATGTAGACAGAACATATCTATATAGTAGATATTTCCTGACATTGTGGACCTCTTGTGATCAAAAGGATGGAGACCACCATGGGCTTTCCAGCACTTGCTCTTTTCCCCATCGTGGCCTTTCTGAACCTGCACTTTTCGCTCTCGACACCAAACCTCCCAACAACCGAAGCGCTTTCCAACCCACCAAGCTGGTGCAGACCTTTCGCAGCCTCCACCCAGCCCACGACGGGGCCACGTCAGCGCTGGAGCTCAGCTCCTTTCCCCGCTCCTGTGATCCCTCCCGCACGCGCTGATGGCTCTGCCTCCCTGCAGGGACCAGGTCCTCCGCATCACGGCCGGCGACGAGGAGCAGATCACCCTGCTCAGGGTGCTGGGCGAGCAGGCGGAGCTGCAGGTGAGCTGTGATGGGGCTCCAGCAGCCCCCCGGTGTAAAACAGAGACCCCCATGACATCCAGGGCTCCCTCCTTCTTTCGACTTTGTATCCAATTTTCCTTTCCCGTTTTGGACGTATATAATTTATAACTATGTAAATATCATATTTAGCTTGGGGCACCTTGAGCCCTCCTTTTTCAGACGAAGCAGGAACACTCCAGCCACCGCAGCATTGTTTTTCCCAAGCTGAGTATTCCTGTTCCTTGCAGGGGGGTTGGACTAGATGACCTTTGAAGGTCCCTTCCAGCCCTAACCATTCTATGATTCTATGAAATGTCACCGCATTTTATTTTTTTTTTGCTTGAATTATGACACAGCTCTGCTCCCGCTGCGTTTGCCATGGATGCTTTGAGGGGTGAATCCTGGTGAAAAATTTAAACAGTGGGAACAGCAGGAGAAGGGTGGGTGGTGGAGAACAGCATCTGCGCCACAAGGCTGATGCAAGGAGTTACCCCTATGGAATTAAAGAGCAAAACCAGCACGC